TCGGGCTATCGGGCCTATCGGGCTATCTTGGACCAATTGCAGGTTTATTTCTTCCTTTGTCGAGCGTTGAGCTTCTTCTCCGGAAGATCGCACATTAACATCAGTCGATTCTGCTCGATTATCCTCTCTTCCTCCGCGTTTCAGTAGTGTAAAATGCAGCACTTCCACATACCAAACAGGACCGACTATTGGAAACCGCTCAAGTCCCCAACACGGGGTGGCCACCCAAGGATTCAAGTGGATATTGCAAGAATCAAATGAACATCCAAGTGAATGCATGAAAGGAGGAGTAATTATACTGGGATGGGATTTCCCAACATTCTCATGATCCTGGAATGCTCATTTTGAGTTTATTTCTGCATGTCAGCGTTTTACGTCTCCATGGATTGGCCCACCAGTAGGAAAGCAGCCAGCCGATTGTAGGCATGAGAGTTTATGTCAACCATTTTAGATTCACGGCTGTTCCGTCGGCCTGTCAACTTGGTATTCATTAATCATTGCCACACTGGGCATCATTTTCGGACTGCCCACTCAGCTTGCAGAGAGGTCTTGCCAGAAGTGTTAATTTCAGCCTTTCAGCCTTTGCATTGCTGGACCTCTCTGGTGTGGAATTCCACATCAGAGCGTCGGGAGATAACTTGGGAGTGGTTAGGAAATGCCCTACAATGACAATGGGTTGAATATCGCCCTGCAAAAATAAGTTGCTCGTAGCTAACATGGCAGCTGGAATCCCAATGTTAGTCACAACTTGAAGACGCAAGCCTAATTTGTAACAAGAGGGGTTACAATCTCCCTTACCAACCATTTATGCAGAAATGGAGCATTTGGAGGGCTGTTCACCCCTAGAAACCTTCGCGAACTCTTCTACGGTACTAGTCGATAGAGTAAAGACCCCGCCCTATTCCTGTTGTGGAGATCCGTCTAAAAATCAAAAATCAATAATCACATGCCTGGTCAATGATTCGGTGTAGCAAGGCCGAGATGCTGCTGACCTGTGGTGATGACTCAGCGGCGTCTCGGGCTTGCTTGCACCGAACCGCATCAACAACACCAGGAAGTTTGTTTTGTCTCTCATCAGCAAAACTAAAACTATCAACAGTGATTAACTCATACTTTGCGCCGAGGGAGTCGATGGTCCATGGGCTAAGGGTCCATATTCCCTACTTGAGATGCCGATTGCCATACCCGTTTCACGCTGAATGGCACTTATGGATTCTGATATGGACGGGCGGATCCCAGTATTCAGAATGACTGAATTGGAAAGGGCACATGCCTGCTTCCTAGTTCAGGCTATGTGCAGAAGATTGCGATATTTTGTTTCTCTCCGATCGAGCCCTGCATAGTGGATCAGTTGCATGTTTCCAATCGCTGGTGAGGGCGGGTATTATCGAGTTTAATATGGAGATCATGAAGCCTGTAATTCCTTCAATGTTACACGCCCCATATAGTTCCCCGTTTAACCTTTATTATAGCTTTCTGTTTTCAATTTCCGTTATTCTCCTCATTTTTCCTCCATTTTCAAAGTGGCCATGGGCCCTTTTCTTCATTTGCAGGTCATAAAATACCACTGCGTACCTTTTCTTTGTTGATATTGCGAAGTCGTGCACGTTGTGTTTTTCTCCGCGTTTCATAGGCCTGCTGTGGGCAACGCACTAGCCAACACCCTTGTTTTACCTCAAAGAGCTCTCTCTTTCAATTGAAAAATATTTCCCATTTCTGCCATTGTACAAAGTAATAGAGGGACATTGGGGTTCTTTTCATCACTCATTTTCGTCTCCTCGGGCTTAAGAGATATTTTAGTACAAACAAACTCATTGCAAAACGTCTACCATTGCATATATAGAGCCGCCAAAATTGCCATTGCACAAGTTCGCACTATAAGAAGCTCGGGCAATTACTATCAAACGAGCTTGCAACGACCCAACGACCAAGGATAAAAGATATATTGCTAAATCCATATGGCCTCCCGTTTCGCATCACGGCCTGTCCTCAGGCAACTGGCCTATGCTTCCATATTCGCAGCCACAGGAACCATCGCGGTCTACACGATCACATCCTACTCCAACGGCCCGGGAAGGTCCAGAATCCAAAACGGATCGCTCTTGCCAAGGGACATACCTTCAAGATTCCCTCGAGTAAAGTCGAGGGATAAACAGATATCCGACCTCAGACGCAGTACAAATGACAACCTCCAAAAGAGTACACGAAGAGTTTCAAATGCGCACCATGAAGGAACAGGGGAGAAGGAAGATGAGAGCGTATACGACCTTCTCGTAATTGGTGCAGGAGCTACAGGGGCAGGCATTGCCCTGGATGCCGCAACACGCGGGTTGAAAGTAGCCCTCGTCGAGAGAGATGACTTCAGCAGCGGCACCAGCAGCAAAAGCACAAAACTCGTCCATGGAGGAGTTCGATATCTCGAAAAGGCCATTTTGAACCTGGACTACAACCAATACAAGTTGGTGAAGGAGGCGCTGCACGAACGAAAATACTTCCTCGATATCGCCCCGCATCTCTCGACGTGGTTGCCCACTCTGCTACCCATTCGCGCATGGTGGCAGGCCCCATATCTTTGGGCGGGAACGAAGATGTACGACCTGCTTGCCGGCCACCAGGGTTCGCCAGAAGGGTCGTATTTTATGACGAAGAATAGAGCCATTGGCGCGTTTCCAACGCTCAATCCCGATGGGATTGTTGGGGCGCTATGCTACTATGATGGCCAACATAATGATTCGAGAATGAACGTTTCGCTCGCTATGACCGCCGCGCTGTATGGTGCTACCGTGGTTAATCATATGGAAGTCACTGGCCTGGAGAAGGATGCCAGTGGGAAACTGTGCGGGGCGCGGGTTCGAGATACCCTTTGCGAAAGTAAAGGTAATAATCAGGAATTTACCGTACGTGCGAAGGGCATAATCAATGCAACTGGGCCATTTTCAGATGCCATTCAGAAGATGGATGAACCAACGAAAAGGAACATAGTGGCACCTAGTAGTGGTGTCCATATAGTTCTCCCTGGATGGCTTGGGCCTCAGAAATTCGGCCTCGTCGACCCTTCGTCGGATGGGCGGGTGATTTTCCTCTTACCGTGGGAAGGAAATCTGATTGCCGGAACGACGGATAAACCCTGCGAAGTAGAGAAATCGCCCATCCCCAGGAGTAAGGATATCGACTGGATATTGAATGAGGTTCGGAAACAGCTAGCTCCGGAGATCGATCTGCGCCGTTCTGACGTATTGTCTGCGTGGTGCGGTATACGGCCGCTGGTCCTGGATCCGAACTCAAAGAATACGGAATCTCTTGTACGCAGTCACTTAGTCACAGTCTCAAAATCTGGCCTGCTCACCTGCGCTGGTGGCAAATGGACCACCTATCGTGAAATGGCTGAGGATGCGGTCAACAAGGCCATCGTGGAATTCCAACTGAAACCACAAGGACACCGTCTCCACCCTGATATCAGCGGCACTGGCGCTGACAGGACTACGCCCCTCCTGGATGGCTCTTGCCAAACGCACACAGTGCCGGTCATTGGCGCGCACGGATATCACAAAACCTTATACATCGATCTCATCAAGACATTCAACTTTGACGCAGAAGTCGCACTGCACCTGGCACATTCATACGGCGACCGCGCCTGGGAAGTCGCCTCGATATCCTCATCCGCATCTTCTGCTTCCTCCTCCACCCCAGGAACTCCCACTCTTTCACCCGCCTCTCACGAACGCCTCTCGCCATCCTATCCATATCTCAAAGCTGAAGTCAAAATGCCGCTGTCAAAAAATGAGTAAGGCCATGACAGCAAGCAGACAATCCTCGCGCGGGCGCACCCGCCCTGGCCTTTCTGGACACCAAACGCCGGCCCTGCAAAGCGCTGCCAGGTGTAATTGACCCTCATGGCTGATGAACTGAAATGGAGCCGCGCAAGACGGGAGAGCGAGTGGACCGAAACGGTCCACTTTCTGGCAACGATGGGGCTACCTGTGGATATGATGAGTGTCACGCGGGAACAGGTTGTGGCTGGCAAAGTATCTGCGACGATTGGTGGTGGTGGGAATTCTGTGGTGGGCGGCGCGCGGGCGAAGGGTGAGTAGAGAACAAAATACTCTCTTTTATACGTTGTTTCCCTCGCGATATCGTAAAAGGAAAAGAAAAATATTCCCCTCTCTGCTCGCTTTTGCTGATTATTATTTCTGAGTGTGTTGGGCAGAACTGCAAAAATCATCCCCTCCAACTAATGGCTCGATCAAGATTAGTATGAGCCAAGAGGGGAAGCAAGAACGAACGAACGGAAAAGAAACAGACAAGTGGTAGAAGGGGAAGGGGGAAACAAGAATATGTACCGAGTATAGTATCCATACCCTCGCCTAAATAGGCCATTATTTGATATTTTGAAGTCTTTATAATTAAGGTGCATAGCGAAGCAAGCGTGGCATTTTTGTTTTGAACCATAGTGGAATTAGCGATAGGACATAGAAGGAAAAAAGAGGGTGAAGATAATCAATAATATAATGGAGTTGTCGTCAAATTGGGATCTATCTCAGTCCCTGGCGTTCTGTGTTAGAGGGTATATACTTTCTTCATTAGACTCTTTAGTAGAGAAGGGCACATCCGGTGAGCAACCGTAGGAAAAGAATCCGTGGCAGATATGAATGTCACACCGTGATCTAGGAAGGAAAAGAGAATAAATAGGAGAAAGGAAAGGAAATGTATGAAGGGGTTAACGAAATAAATGCAAAAAAAGAAAAAAAAAATGGCGCAATGATGAAAATATTCTCCCCTCCCAAATCCGACATCCTAAAAGAACAGCAAGAAAAGTAAACTCCCTAGTAGTAAACAGACTTAACTGTATGTTAAGCAAGATAAATTTCAACAACGAGCAGCGTTATATATATACACCCCCCATCCAAAAGTAAAAAATAAAAATAAAATAAAATAAGAATTGGTTGGGTCTCACATAGTACAATATATTCTCTGCAGGGGTAGCGGAGGGCGATAACGAACAAAAGGCGGGGCAATGCACTCAAATAACAACATCCTTTATCCAGCCATATCGACATCCTTCCTCTCAACGGCGGATTCTCCGAACTCATTGTTTTCGCGCGCATCGTCGGGCCTTGAAACATCCGCAACAACGCTCTGGCCATTCTCCGTCGGCAGGGAGTCGTGGTTGCGAGCAGCAGTGTCATTGCCCGGGTTGTCTAAACTGGCTTCTAGGCTGCTAAGCAGATCAATTTCACCGTCTTCGAAAAGGATGGGCACGCTGTGTGGTTCAGGACGTGTCGATGTTGAGGCTAAGGCCGGGTGGGAATTTTCTTGCGGTGGAGAGTGTTTAGTGATTTCGGGCTTAACCCCGTTGGAGGGGATATAGGGATATTCTTGGGGGTTTGAAGCGCCGTTTTGGTTGTTTGCTAGTGATTCTGCGTCGTCACCCGAGGGTTCGGATGGTTTGGACACTTGGTCAGCGTCCTTGTTTGCATCAGACAAAGAGGTTCCGGCAGATGGTGGGACTGGGGTTAGAGAAGGGGTTTCAGTGGGGACGGGTGGTGGGGGCTGTTGTTCGGGTTTTGGAGATAGCCCCTCTCGCGGCGGCTCTGCTATATGACTTGTGGAGGGAGCCGTCGCAAGTGGGAGATCTGGTGAACTAGGCATATCTCTTGCTGGAATTGAAGCACCCTTGTGTTGTTCCTGTTCTGGGGATAAAGCGTGATCGCGCATATCCAGTATGAGTTCTTCTTTCTCAGGAACTGTTGAGACACCTCCTTGGCCCTCTTGTTCAGGTTTAATAATGGTTTCCGGGGATTTTGATTCTGGGCAAGATTCTCGTCTCTCATCACTCTCTTCGTCCTCCGTTTCCTCATCCCCTTCCTCGTCTTCTTCGTATAATATTTGTGAAGCAGTCGAACTGCCATCCTGTGTTGTACCCGACATCATCACATCCCCAGGGGCTTGAGAAGCATCAGTATCGCCGAGAGCAGTATCTGCAGTTTCCCCCTCGCCAGATGCAAACATCACTTTCTTCCGGCTACCATTTTCAATATCAGATGCCTTTCTTTTTGATGGAGGATCTTGCTTTTCCATTGGCGCGACCATGCTAGAATCTGGCTCTGCGACAAGGCCCCTTGGATCTCCCACTCCAATTCCTTCAGCATTAGTTCCTGGAACAGGCGGCGTTGCAACAACAGCCACATCGCTATTTCCAGGGACGACCTCAGCATTTTCTGTAATTTCCCCCTCAACTTTATGACCTTCAGGCACCCAGGCTTCGTATATCGAGGTTTTTCCCGTTATAGGATCAATCTTCTTGAACTTGGTTTTCTTCATTGGCGGCTTAGGTTCTGGCTGTACTTCAGCCGTGCCATTTAATGCAGTTGACCCATACAGTGATGACAATCCTGGTCTCCTTTTCGCGAGAAACTCTGCTTCAGGTGGCTCCATATGTCGCGGTGCTAATGTCCATTTTCCGGCAGTAAATGTACGTTCAAAGGGAGGCGCCGCAGTAGGCTCATCGGAGTCTTTGGTCTCCTTTTCGTCACCCTCAACCTCAGGAGGCGCTGGTCGAATATACTTGCATCCGGCTCTGGCAGCGCGTAATAATGCCCGACTCATTGGTGTTAATAGGTGACTGTCTCTGGGCATCGGTAATTCGGGCAACGCCTGTGGTCCTCCTAATCTCGTATCTGGTTGTTCAGTTTTCGGGGTTTGGTAAATCACGACTGGTTGCCGAACCCAACGCCGGACAGGGAAGCCTTCGAAGACATCGTGATCGACCTGTCCCGTTCTCGTCCTATTGGGGACGGTTTCCGCAAGTGCTTGCGACCGACGAGAGGATCGGAACTATAACAGCATTTTGTCAACAGAGAGAAGCGTGGGTTAGTACGCCGGGTTACTGCCTGATGCGGCGCTCAAAATAGGATATTTCACTAACACAGTGTTATGGGATGGAAATGTACACGTACCGAAGGCATTGAGATTAAAATGGAGATTCGCCGGTTCAGACTCCGCTCCAGAGCTTAGATTTCTGTATGCCGGGCGTCAGACTGGTTATACTGCTATCATTTCCACCAGGCATCAATCCGTCGTGTGAATATGGTATCGGGGCTGGCGCATCTTCAGTGCAATCGGTCAAAGGGCGCTAAAAAGCAATATAATCACGTGATGAAAACTTACTCCCTGGATGGATTTTTCAACGATGGAGCAAAGAGGAGCCGCGGAATGAAGATTGGTAATATGTCATTATTTCTTTTCGCGCATCGGATGTAGGATTCCATGGGTATATATTGATTCTATTTTTGTGGGGTAATCCACTGCCGGTATCGCAAATATCAGAGCTGAGAATAGCCGCCAGAAGGCCGAAATCGCCTATACAAGGAAAAAGAACTACGAAATAACAAATAAAAATGGGAAACAAATATTATATATGTACAAGTACACAGGGCTATTCCCCAACCCTGAGGTTGAGGAGTCCCATCGAATCCCAAGCCCGACCAGACGCTCAATCCCAACTGGAGAGCTACTGTTCAGCATGCGAACCTGACTAACGTAGGTTGGACCATATGCTTACCCTGTATCTTTCTGTCGCACAATGCTGCCCGCATTCCCGGATTCTTTGCCCTAAAAAATACGAAGATTTTAGCGACTGCTAGTTCCTCTCTCCTTTCAAAGCACGGGAAATAGAATGCTATGTAACATACCGTAGCTCCTCCTTCGACAACTAATTTGTCTAGTTGGTAGAATTGGCTTATGACGGTTTGTCTCTGAGGTAATACGAGGAATAATTAGTACATTTCTTTCTTGTAATTTCGAGGGCAACAGCAATGTCCGGAACAGCATGTGCAGCGGCGGGGGAGCCAACCTTCATCATGCGCAAATCCTGCAATCCTTTTTGCATCAATTCCTGTATTTCCCGTTCCCCAGTCACATGTTGGTGTTCCCGAAACGCATCTATCGTTCTTCTCCGCGCATATTCTCGAAAATTGTATGCAGCAAAATGGCGTGATTGACGGAGGAGTGACCGGAACTAGTGACATGTTTATGGTTAACGTAAACGTCGACAAAATATGAGAATATTGATATAAAATGTAACATGAACTGAGGAAAGAAATGGACCGTGCGATTAGAAGCCAACTGAGTGTCTTACCAACGAACGAGCCTGAAAGGCTGAATTCGACTGAGCGACAACAGACATGATAGCAGGAGTTTATAGATAGATATAAGCTGAAGAATTCGTCTCTCCCTCTTTGTCTCGCTTCGCACAGTGATCCTCCGGAGTGTGGGGCCGAACGCAGGATATTCGGCGTGGCCGAGTATAAGAGTCCGCAGCGAGTGATTTCAGATCCTCTTCCGATTAAAGCCGCTGGAGTACTTTAATTCTATATCTGCACGGCGTACCTGTGGTAACAACAGTAACAACGATAGCGCATGGGGATAGCGTTCAATGTACGGAGTAACAGCGGACGGATTCGAGGTTTTGACTTCCGCTTGGCGTGACCTTCGCAGAGGGTCAACTAACAAAAACACAATCGTAATCTGACAGAGGGGCAAATTAAACAAATGTTAATAGCGGAAATCAAACGAAACCCTGAGTGTAATTAGGCAGAGTCGTTTCGTTCTGTCGGCAAACAATACCCCGGATGCCTGGGAAGAAAGGTGCTGGGTTTGGTCTCGATGACGCTAGCCCAAAACATTTTTCGGGTTTAGCCCCAGCTGAATGTCCGCATCCGTGAGCTCACAACATATCTACCTTTGCACGCTCTCTTCTAATGCTACTTTTATCATGGTCCAGGAAATTATGGATCAATTGCCCACGCCACCCGCAACCCCAGCTGACGGAGCGGGTTCCAGCGAGGTATCATCACCAACAGAAAAATCGCTGGTGGAGCTTTCGCAAGAGCTGGATAGCGTTTTAGAACGCTATCTCAACCTGTTAGATCAACAACAGCGACTGCAGCAGGAGATTGGTCGAGAATTCTCTTCCGTATGGCTTCCAACTTCCCATTCATTTTATGTCGGGAAATAGAAAACCAAAATTCTAAGAGATTGGTTCGCTGTAGGGGTTGTTGTCGCTTGCGTGCGCGAATAAATCTTCGCCCTCCCGGCCGGCCGCATGGCGAAGATGACTACGATGAGAGGATGAAGGCGATAAGGAAACTGTATGCTTTCCCGTTGCAAATATCATCTCATCTTGTCGGGGTGGCAGTTGCTTCGAAACATACACGTATTCATTATCACGGGCAGCAAGCGAAGGCTAATTTAATCCAAACATTACACCCACAGAACAATCAACCCGCTTTCAACCATTCCTACCCAAGTGAAACCCACTATTTTAAGCTCAAACAATAATAAAAGCAGTCCATCATTCACCGTCGAAAGCGTATCGCTATCACCTCCTGACGCAATAGAACCGAAAGATGTCACTGAGGACGAAAATGAAGGGACAAATTCCAAAGCATCCCCTCGAAGCTTTGATCCAGACGAGCTGAATATTTCCAAAGAGTTTGAAAAGTCAAGAGCTAACGGGAAGCGGTCCAATCCAATTAACTGGTTTGGAATACTCGTTCCCCCAGCTTTACGAATCGCGCAACAATCATTTTGTACGGCCGTCGACGGGCCAATTCCCTTATTGGCTACTGTGATTACTGAAATGCGCGGAGTTGAGAGGGATATAGAGGTATTGAGAGGCATGTTAGCCGCTGCAACGGTCGACAATGATGGAAACGAAAAATAGGAAACAATAGAGGTAAACACAACGGGTTTTTTTTTTTTTTTTTTTTTTTTTTTTTTTTTTTTTTTGGTTGGAAATGTATATTTATATTTTCATTAGACTCCCCAGGAAATTTTGTATCCTTGTGCCTCTCCCAGGTGGGTCTCATTAAATATAATGTTAGTTTGGCGGCATTGTTGATGATCTAGTTGCCTTGGGATGATCTATGGGATTCTATCATGATGCTTTGAAAAATCGATGCATAAATCTGGAGTAAGTGAAATGGACCTTTCCGCGTGCTCAGGCGTAGTGAGGTCTAATCACAATGACCTAGGGTTCCTTTTAAATGCAAAGCTTAGCGAATTAACACCCCTTAACAACCTCACAACGCGAAGCCCCACTGCTCCCCACCCCCACCATCCCTCAGGTACATACAATGACCAATAAGTCCACTCGAACCTTTTCCGCCGGTCAGTGGCGGGAGACGCTCCAACAGGCAGATTCAAGAGACATCAGCTGACTCACAGATTTTATATCAAGTGCCCTTAGATCATATTTAGTAATACTACATGGCAAAGGCTGATGGTGTCTCTGATTGATCAGTCCCTATGTATTGACTTTGCCGCATTATATTTTCAGATTCCTCTTGTTATGGTTCGCTTCAATCTGACATTTTGTTCTCACCAGTGTTGGTAGTTATGAAAGCGGATATGCGCGCGGGTGTCAAATAGGGGGAACAAAGGGTGTTCGCAATTGGAAGCGTCGGCATTATGTATCGTTGGCATACTGCAAAGTTCGCACATTGCTACAGTGGGAGGCAGATTCTTTAACAGTCGGATAGAGAACGTTAGTCGGGCGAACGAGTCAACGTTAAAGCTCTGTATCACTAGAGTAAAAATCTATATCCGTGTTCAAGCGCACACAAAACACGCAGTTCGATAGAAAGATTGAAAATGTATTAACTCCAGAGGTGGGCTATTTATAGCTAGTTATCCACCCGAGAGCAACTCTAATTTAGAATTTACACAAAATAAAACTTATTGTGACTTCAAACCAATCCAGTCGATTATGCAGCGGATATTTATCAAGGTCATCTTGAGGGGATCCCAAGAACTGCAGAATACCGCGATAAAAAAAATTGGTTAGAGATGCGGTGCGATTGAAACTGACGATTCCGCTGGATCTTGAGCAGCAAGGCCAAGTACAAAACATAAGAGGTTTTAAACTCTGGCACTAGAGAACTTTATCTTATCATCGGCCATCCCGAGAGCCGGAACCAAGAGCTAACTCTATTCCGTACCTCATCATCAAGTGCCAATCTAAGTTTCCCGTGCAAAAGATTCTAGAGAGAAGACAGATTCCGAAATCGTGACGCAAGGTCTCTAGAGTATAAACAGTTTTGGAACGCCGGAGGCTGTTCTCAATAAATACCAAAAGAATCTGAGGATAGTTTTGAACTGATCTTGTTTGTTTGACTCTGGGAAAACATAGACACGACACACTTAAGATTATTCGGCTTCCATTTCTATTTCCGTACTATTTCTTTTCCCTTCTCTCTCTCTCTCTCTCTCTCTCTCTCTCTCTCTTTCTTTTTTGTGAACCGTAGCCACGCCGAGATAACAGAGAAAATTCGAGGACCAGAACACATGTCTTTCAAAGCTGAACATCTCATCCTCATCTGATAGGCTTACAGAGGATACATATGCGTAAACGAAATGTTGTGTTCTCAGCTCGTTAGCCTCTTCCTAAGCTTGCATAGTGCATGCACATAGGCACCCACACAATTAACTTCTCTGTCACTGCCATCGACATTGAGAATAAGAGAGAAATGCCATATGAACCAGAAATATTTGGAAAGTATAGTTAAATAGAGGAGTCCCAAACCATCACTGATTTTCACACAAGTATCGCTCTCCTAAATAGCAGCTACTACTGAAAAGCATTAAAGTATACGGTTGACTATTACATCTTCAAGCTATCCTTTGAATGCATACATCAATAACTAGTGGATAATTTTGTTTACTCTTATTTCTTTTGCTTCTTTGATTTTTTTTTTTTTTTTTTTTTTTTTTTTTTTTTTTTTTGGGTTTTTTTTTTGGCCCCACTAATGGGGAGCAAAATGCGGGGAGAAACCAGGGATGCCGTTAACAAACTGCACAGAGAACCAAAATATGAAAAGACTTAACTTCTGCTCTCCTTCATTGTTTCCCTAGGCCTTGCTGAAAAATTGCAGCAGCAATGCAGAATGTTGTTCCAATGTTTGCA